GTAAAATTGGAAAACACTGGTAATTAATTATTCTATAATTTGTAAAACTACGGTGTTAAAAACGACAATTTCAAAAATACAGATTCTAATGGTCAGATATAGATATACAGATACTAAAGATAGGCAGGTACTTGCTTTCAAGCAGAACACAGGGGAAAACAAATTTAGCGGGAGTGTTTACGTGTTCGGCGTAATGACGTACAACGGCCTCGACAATTTCTGTAGTCCTATTCAGCCATTCGGTAACAACCATCGTTTTTCAGACACGTAAACTCTTCAAAAATCCCCAGTGGGGTCACTGCTGATGTATTTAATGTCGTAGAACAAAACGTCAATTACCTCTTAAATTTGTGTCAACCACAGACCTTATTTCGAGCTATTTTCCAAAACCCTATGGAAAAAATGCATTGCTTTTTGAGGAAGGAACCGGAAGTGCTAAAAATGCTAACTTACTTCCGGGTTTTACGACGCGTCACTGCGGTTCTAATCTTCTTGGTCGAATGCACTTATTGTAAGTCGCTTTGGATAAAAGCGTCAGCTAAATGCAATGTGATGTAATGATGGGATATTATGTTAGATTTTTATAAATAATGTTTTTTTTCTTACTATATAGCTTAATAAGACACTTTTTTTAAATGAAATACTATACTATTATTGTTTCATTGCATTTTTTCAAATGATGCCTTTTTATGGCATAGCCTACACAGAAACAACTGAAACGTTGACTTTAAATAAATGTGTTATGTCAACAAATTAAACATCATTTTATTAAGTTTGTTTAAAGCAATAATGTTAAGTTGAACCTTTTCTTTTACTTAATATTATTGCTTTCAACTAACCTGTGACGAAGATAACTTTGTCACTATGGACTGATGGTTTCGGGCCTTGCATATATGCACATTTGTATACAATTTATTGATGTAGTGTTTATTGTATTTTATATTGAAATGTATTCCCCTTTCCCCTTGTCTGTTGCCGTTGATTGTGTGCACCTGGTGCCCTGTGTTGTCTCCATCCCCCTCACCTGTGTCCTGTTGGGTTGTATTTGGATGTTATACCACTGCCTCCTTGCTTGGTCAGGCCGCTCAATTGTCGGCTTCACGTAACCTAATAAATACAGTTATGTGTAATTTGTTGACATAATAGCCTACATTTAATTAAAGTCAACGTTTCCGTTTTATCAGTGTACTATACATTTTTCATGTCATACTATGAATTTTTAAAGCATAGGCCTACTATTCTTTTTTTCCCCAACACATTTCTATGATTTATGGCATAATACTATACATTTGTAAGGACATACTATAAATAGTATCGATTGCATATTTATTACATTGTTACTGTAACATAAATACTCTTATATATTCATAGGATCTTTGGGGAAATGATGTTCAGATATTTTAGTTAGTTTAGTTACTGTATTAGAATTAGTATTTATTACTATTTAAAGTGTACTAGACTATGTTTTTATTTGTGTGATACTGTACTATGAATTTTAAAAGGAAATTTCAATGGCGTACTATAATATAATTTATAAGGCATGGCCTACATTTTAAGTCAACAACATGAGCTTTATAAGATGTTATCGACCTGAACACAGCATATTGTGACAAGAAAATATGATTAAGAATGCATGAGAACTGGTGTTCACATCTTTTCCTGTATACATCTGTCCCTTGATCAGTTATGTTTTAAGAAAGACATGAATTGTAAATTATATTATTTTATTAAGTTAAAGTAGAATTATATTTATGAAGGATGTTCACAAAGCCAGGAAATGAAAGATAGAAGACAACCTCCTTAGTTCCAGCTGATTTTAATGATCAAATGTACATCATCTCAGGGTTTAGTTTCACATTAAACACCCAATCCCTAATAATAAAAAAAACAAGAAGTCATTTTTTCCCACAATACAAAAATCCTCTCATCCCTTAAGTATCAAAAGTATCAATGATTAGGCAACAACATCGGGGACATAAAGACAGCTCAGATCTGATTGTAGAGTAATATTTTTGCAATTTATGCACTGATTGACTTTGCAGTACAATCGAACACAGAAACACTGGTCAGATCCGAGGAACAGAGTCAGATCTTTTCATGTGAAAAATACAGCAAAGAGATTAACCCACAGATGAAGCACATAATAAAGTAGTAGAAGTGGCAACATTATGTACTTTAGGGATTGTGGGAGCTATAAATCAATAATAAACATCAGTAGTCGTTTACAGTTCGACGCTTCCTGTCGCATCGAGTGCTTTAAAGAAACATAATTCCAGTTCTTAAAATTGAGATGTTAAATCATTTTTTAAATCCACAGCACTCCATTTTGTTGAAAAGGCAACTGACTGGTCAGATAAAATGATAGGATTCAGAAGTCCAGGTTAAATATACCGTATGTCTCATTTTCATTTTGCTCCTGGTACTGTGTAAACTCAAGCAATTGCTGTGTAATTCCAGTCATCTTGTCCAAGTTTGACTCCACCTTTCTGAGCCCAAATCTAGTTTTAACACTTTGGAAACATTTTGTGTTCTCACCAACTAATGTCAAGCCGTCTTAATTTACCAATCATCGTCAAGTGCACAATTTGTCAATTTCAGGTCAGCAAAAATCTACAGATGATAGTTATCTTTCCAAATCAGATCATTTTGACTCCAGTTTTAGGTCAGATTATATTTTATTTAACCTTTTTGCTTCCCTGATTCACTGCACAAAAATGGTCCAACTTACATTCATGGATGTGTTCACTTCTGTTCCTTAACATTTTAGTTTAAAACAAGTGTTTAACACTTTCCTCTCCTTTATCAAGTTTAGTTTTTACCAAGTAAATCAATTGTGTCAGATATACTTGTGATTTGAAATGAACACATCTGAAGGCAAAGTGTACCCCTTTAACTTTGTAAAGCAAGTTGTTTATTGGATGATTATCTGCAGTAGAGTGTTTCCACTCAAACAGGGATGCAAAATGGTTCAGGAGGAGTGACGGTGTGTTTTTATTGGTTGCCTCAGGGGACGTTGACTTGGAAGGGGGAGCCTGGGATGTGGTCGTCGCCCCACTTCACCACCAGGATGTAGCACCCCCGCTCCTTCAGCATGTAGCTCACGTTGTACTGCAGGTTGCCCAGATGTTTGACCAGAACCTCCTCACAGGGGACCAGGGGGCCGAGCACCCCCACCAGGAGCATGTTCTTACCTGGAGGAAGAGGAGCGGAAGTTTACACGTCAATCAATGTTGGTAAACGTGTTTAAGTTTTCGTTCAACTTAGCTTTAATTAGCAATAACTACCTTGGATTGGTGTGTTATTTATGTTATATTTTCCTTATTGCAAATTGTTACTTTAACTTATTTTGTGTACAAAAATGTTTTTTATATATATTTTTTACTTCACATTTTGACTAGCTTTCTATGTTAACATACCTATTTGTATTCTATGGTATTATATTTACATTTCATTTTATTCTAAAAAGGAGCAACTGTTTTGAAACTCATAAATAAAGTATTCTTATTTATTTGACCTTCTTGTATTCCCTGGAATCATGTATGTATCATGTACTCACGCTGCATGTGTGCTAACATATTTTATCCTCTGACTTCAACTGATTGTGTTGTGTTTTGCACCAAACTCTCAAAGCACTCTTAAGATGCATCCTCTGTATGAAAAGTGCGATACCACTAAAGCTAAAGAAAAAATCCATCGATCATGAGCCGTACTTACCGGCCTTGCTGCAGTCGACAGAGAAGTTGCTCCTCTGGCCCACGAAGGCCTTGCTGAGGCCGGGGCCGCGGCTCGACACCTTGCTGGCATCAGAGTCTGTGAGCCGGGGCAAAGCACTCTGGGAGAAGCTGCTGCTGGACCTGACCGCTGGATCCACTGTCAGGGTGGACGTCTCGCTGGCGTTGGTCACATTCACCAGCCGAGCGCCTGAGAGAGGGAGACAGACAAATCAGGTAAGATCGTTTAAATGCTTTGCAGAGCAGGACCGAAAGAAAAGTCATAAGTTGCTCTAGAAAACCAGGACTTTCAATAAAATGAGTCAGCTAGCTTGTGCGAATTTCGATAAAATATTTTTAAAAATATAATTAGATGGAAACAATACCATTTCAGCATAGAATACAATTTTTAATAATAAATAAGGACCAAAACACTTTGTAAATATAAGATTATATTATAAATCAAGAATTTCAAGGAATATATTCAAGGGAGCATATTTCTCACTTTAAAAAACAAAACTATTTAGATGAAAAATAATGTATATAACTTTAGATTAAATATGACATGACAAAAATTTGTAATTGCTTTACAGAAAATAAAGCATTAATGTACACTTACATTGAGTGTATTTTTCTACCGAAAGAAACTCAACAGACCTATTGATTTCAGATGCATATATAATGTTTTGCATTGCAAGTTTAAATTGGATGAGTGCAAGGACGTTCACTGACCTGTGACCTTGGCTTTGAAGGGGCTGCCGGTGATGTGGTTGGGTCCTCCGTATTTAATGCTGATCAGGTAGTTTCCAGGAGCCATGGGGGTGTAGTGCACCTTGTAGCCCTCAGGAACCTCCTTACAGTCCATCTTCACTTTAGATGGCCCCTCGATGGTCACTGCAAGGGCCCCGGGCCCCGCCTTAGTGTTGTTAATGATGAACTCTGACTGGCTACCTGCAAGATTTAAAACAAACAATAACGCTTTGTTAAAATGCAAGAAGTTATTCTCATAGATTTGTCGCCCTATGGAAAAATGCATGTAATGCTTCATACAATGTGTTGGAAGCCACAACATAAAAGTCATATATAAAACCAAAGGCTTGTGAAATAAACAAAGTAAAAAAGTTTATTGCTGTGGGTACATTATAAATCTGTCATTTTTTATTTTCCATTTACAATATACATTTAGATTAGATGATAAAGCCTTGGAGAGTCTGGAAATGTTCAAAGTGCTTTAAAAGTGCTTAAATGTTACTTAAGAGCCTAAAATGTATAATATGGCCCTTCAAAATATATATTTATTCTGATATGAAATAATAACAGACACTAAGCTCTCCCACCTGTGGTTCCTCTCTCCAGCCCCGATCCGTATGCCGACACCAGGCCGGGCTCTCCGGTCTGTCCCGGCTCTCCGACCCGGACCTGGAAAGGACTTCCCGGGATGTGAGAGCCGTTGAACTTCACGTCGATGGTGTGGATTCCGTTCTCTCGCGGGATGAACCGGATAGCGTACTTGTCTGGAGGACAGAGGACTTAGTTATGAGAATTCCAAGTTCTGGCTTCTTTTAGAACAAACTGCACAGCGCTTCCACTTTTTAATCCTGATATACTTCACATATTTTATTTTTCAGAGGAGAAAATGTGTAATTCTTATTCTATGATTATTATTCCTGTACAATGTATTATGTTTTATTTTAGTAGCTTTAGTGTTTTATTTATTTTAATTAAAAAAAACAAATCAATACATCTGATTATTATTTAAGTTGACATATGGCAATATGAAGAAAATCTAAAATTAAGATATTTTCGAGCAAATAACTCAATATCAATATTGTTGGGTTGACCCTTGATGCTTTGAAAAATATTTACACAATAAGGATTTTGATGAATAATAACAAGTAATGTGGAATAAATAAAGTGGGTAATATATTATAGTTATTTCCCAGGCCTAACAGGAAGTATTTTTACTTGAACATTTGTTCTAGAAATATTTTCTAAAAGCAGCTATAGACCAAACTATACTGATAATTATTCAACGCATTGCAGAACAGGATTTTCTTTCACCAAAGATGCAATAAAAAAAAACACTTAAAGCTCACACACACCTTTTTCCAGCTCGGTCACCACACACTCCTCCAGAGCTCCGGAGGGACTGTGGACTTTGGCCTCCATCTTGCCCTGCGCTCCGTTCAGACGCACCGCAAAGGATGCTGGGTGATTCACCTTCAGACCAGACTCCTACCGAGGTCACACACACAGTCAGGGTACAGGGTACAGGGACAGAAAGAGAAACATCAAGGAAGAAAAAAATCAAACACTCCAAAACACAGACACTTCAAAGTGAGTATGTGTTTGTATAAAAGAGTGGAATACCACAAACCTGGCTCTGGTTCTATCATTTCTCTGAACTATATGTTCTTCCACTCTTACCTGAGCTCCAGGTGGTGCAGGTGCAGCAGACAGAGGCAGCCACAGGGTCAAAAAGCATCTGAAGAGTTAAATCTACAGTCGTACAGTGTTATAGTACAGTCTGTTAAATGCACTAAACTGTCTCAGATTTAGTGAGTAGTTTTAGTTGAACCATGTTTTGATGATAATGACATGACTCTTTACATTTGGTACTTAAAGGTCCCATGACATGCTTTTCCGGTTATTACCCGTCCCCTTGGGTGTCATGAAGGTTTTTCTGCATGTAAACGGTCTCCAGAGTCACAAACCCTCAAAGTACACCCTGTAGCGAGTAAAACTCTAACACAGAAAAGACCTGTCTGTGCTGCCCCAGAACGCCTCGTTGGAGATTTCTCTTCCTGGTCCTAGTGACGCAACGCTGCGGAGCTCCGCACACACACTCAGCCTTATCTTTTACACACACACACACACACACACACACACACACACACACACACACACACACACACACACACACACACACACACACACACACACACACACATACAGACAGACAGACACATAGACACACAGACAGACATACAGACACACACACACACACACACACACACACTCTCTCTCACACAAACACACTCTCTCTCTCTCACACACACACACACACACACACACACACACACACACACACACACACACACACACATATATACACTCAGACACACACACACACACACACACAGACAGACAGACACAC